ACTTTTTTTACCGTGATCATTCGACTAGAAATGAGTTCTTCGATTCGGCAATATGGCGGGCATGCAGGGAAAATCGAGTTTCTCTCTGAGAATAAATTGCATAAATTGACGAGAAAGGAAACGGTATTTGTCTGCTTTATGGAACACAAATTTCGTGGAACATATTTCCTCTTGAAAAGCTGCTAATTAAGAAATTCTCTGATTTTTATGGAACCTCAAGTTCACTAACGTGTTCATAACAGTCCTCAACTAGATGATGTCCTGAGCCACTTGAATCCAGTCAAACTTTTCACGCCATATTTCCTGAAGATCCTTTTTTTTTATTATTCCATATCCACGCTTGTGTTTCACGAGTGTTTTGTTTATTTCATATCTTCTAAGTAAATTTTTTGTGTATGTTTTATATCTCTATATCACGCCCATCTCACCATCCTTAACTTCAAGACCCTAATAATGTTTTGAGTAGAGTATAAATTATGAACGCCTTCAAGATGCAGTTTTTTAGCGTCCAATTAATTCCTGGGTCCTCACATTCTTCTCAGTACCCTGTTCTCAAATCTCTTGGTCTAAATCCTAAGTATCGAGTATTATTGATACAATTTTCTATAGTTGACATCAGTATTTCTTTTTTGGCGCCGGGTTAGTAATTCCAGGTACGCCACAGCCGCTTCGCGCTGATTCCTTGTTCATAATAACACACATTCTCGTGTCCCAGGAAATGCCGGAACTTGGGGTTACCATTTGATGTTCCTCAGAACTGACGCCACCTAGATCAGTGAGTGTGATACATTGCACAGACACGCGGAAAGCTGGTTGCTATTTTATGAATAATTGTCCTTTCTTACCAGGAACCGGAAATGCTAGTCCATAGCTCACGATGTGCCCGTGTTGTCCTACTGTAGGGAGCAACTTGCACTGACTACCGCGGGGTCGCGCCAGCGAGTGCTAAATGTGCTCGTTGAATTTCTTCATTATGTGTGCCAGGAACATCCCATCGTGTTAAAATCTCCGAGTTTCTCTCTGGCAACAAAACCCGACAATTCAGTACCGCTACTACCGGAGCTTGTCACTGAGCCAGTTCCATCCACCTCATACCCTCACAACCTACTTCCGGAAGATTTGTCTAATGTTGCTGTCCGATCTATCTTCGGTCTTTCTAAGCGGTTCCTCACTTTACTTCTGGAAAGATTCTTTGTCTCCGCCATCCTAGCTATCTGACGTCTCTGATTTCACTACACTGACAGTATCAGCTGACCGACGTTCCTCGTTATGTAGCCTGATATTCTAAACTGGGTGTCCATACATTACATCCCTGTTTGGTGCAAATATTTCCCTGAAAATCTGTTCACAATCGCTTCTAATCATGTCCGTCTTCGCTTCGCAGCCATACGAAACAAGTGGGAAAATTATCGTTATAGGTCTACATAATAACTTATTTTGTTTTTCGATGCTTTGGAAAATATCAGCATCTCTATAGACATATTTAAAACTTATTTTTTGGAGTAGTGTATTTTTCATATAAAACATTTTCGATTTGATAAATATTTAGGTTTACAAATGAAGCGCCAACTTTCATTGGTATGGTTTAATTCATAGATCTGATTCAAAATGTCATTCAGAATTATTTCAGCTGTCCCGCTAATGGATGGACGCTTAAAGAACGCCTCACATGTCAGAGGCCGGCGAATCCCGGCGAAACAAATTTTGCGATCACGTAGAAGTGGCTTCGTGTCCAGACAAAACACGCAGTTCTCATCGAAGCGAATCTGGGAGACGCAGCCCGTTTCGGAAGTTGTTCGGTTGGCATGACAACCTCACGTCATTTCCGCGTAAAGAAGACCGATTTGTGTCTGCGAGGTTTGTTGCTCAAGATAAACAAATTTGATAAGATAACTGAGGAAGAAAGGCTGAATCTGTTGAATAGCGTTAACATATCACGTGGGCATCTCAGCAATGAAACACAACGTTCATTGTCATTGTTTTTCTCTCTTGGCCGTCACGACAAGTACGTCCCATATGTCGATAGATCCAACAAATTATCCGTTTTATTGCGTTATATTTAAAATTTATCTATCGGTCGTTAAGAAATATAACTTAACTTGAGCTAAATTTAAACCGTACCCCCTTCATATTTCTTCTCTGGTCACGAAGTCAGGACAAAAGTTTCCTGTTTCGTCCTTCAGATTGTGACCGTCCAGAAATTCGTTTAATGGTCGCCCTGGTCTTCGTCTTCCGAGGTGTCGGTCAGCAGTCAAGAAGTTGCCTTTCGTCCTTCAAATATTATACAGTCAGTTGTGTTTTTTATACTGTGCCAATGTATTTTCGATTGTCTTAAGCATACTCCATCATATAAAGTAATAGATTTTGAAGACACTCTTCTTCCTTCACATGATAAGCCGTCTGGATTTCTGTTTCTGTCCTTCAAAACGCTTGCTACGCTAGAAGAATTTGTTTTTCCACTAATTAATTATGTTCGAGTTTGCCGCTAGTTCAAGTTACAGTGTCTGTTCAAAGCAACAAGGACATTGGACAGATCGCGTGGGATTTTATCTTAGCTGATGGGTTGAGTTGTCTTGCAAAACAAAGCACTGTTCCACAAGTAACGCCAGGCGCGCTCTGCCGGCTGTTGCAGGTATTTTCATATAACCAAGGAAGTGACCTTCACTTGCCATAGTGCTTTGGATCTCCCGTTTGTCGGCGCCTCGTTACAAATGATCAGTGAAGATGACACAAGCGCATGGCGTCGCAGTTTGAAAAGACCGGCGTTTATTTTACAAAGTACATTAACACATTCCGTTTCCAATGTATTAGGGTTTTTACTAACTTTAGTCCGCAGCCTCTAAGTTCAACACTACTTTACAGATCCTCAAACAGTTATAATTTATTCTCAAAAACGGTTCTTCGTATAATAATTCATAAGGACCCCCTCATTATGCGCTTAGGCGCGTTCCGGAAGTGCAAGGGTATGTATTACGTTCGATATGATCAACTTTCATCATATAGCCGCCGATAAAAGGCGTTCTACGTTCTTACAGAAATGTGTACCAAATCGAATTTTAGACCCACTTGAGCATAATTCCTTGCGCGAAGTCTATTGGTGTGTCTTTCTCACTTTACATTGCTTTCTCATATGAAGACATTAATAGCGTCGAATGTGACGGTCAAGACTTAAGGTTTAGTAATGAAATGTTCCTTCAAAACGTTGGTTTCTGCCTGCAATTCCACAAGGCATTAAAATTCAGAAGACCATCGACGAACTGGATAGTCATTGTCAATGATAAATAGGGAAATGGTCGAGAACTATTTTAGGATCAGACTTCGCATTTGCCTAGAGAAGCTGTGGATTTGTTACTATATGTAAGTTCTTGCCACATAGAAACGTATACAATTATGTAAGGCAAAAGTTCGGTAGCCACAGTTTCCTTGGAATTCGTGTCGGGTTTGTGGCCCAGCCTTGCTGCCTTACTGCTCTACTGAACGGAAATATCCTCACTTGTCTTCTGGCCGGCTGTTCGGACCTGCCGCGCCTCATTAAGTTGGCACGCAGGTGGCGGCCAGGTCACGGTCGGCACAGGAATTCGTAGAAAGTGAGTGCGGGTGGCGCTTTTCACCTATTTTCTGAGATTGGTTTGTTTTTCTTCGAATTTTAAAATCCTACGTTGTACGGCAAACGGACTTCGTAAAGGCACTGCAGAAGCGTTGGAGACCGACCATTCGAGAGACGCTAATTAATTCGAATTGTAACTAAAATAAACATTCAGCACTTGGATCGAACATCTTTATTCCACTCTTAATGTAACATTATCAACAGAATGAATCCATTGCCATTCCTGCAGAAAACTCAGCCGGAGCTCATAGAGCGATCATGGAAAGCGGTTGACAGCCGGTACTTAATGTTCGTTTCTTACTTATTTATTGAATTGCATATTATCTACCGCCTAAGTTGCGTTTCGAACTGTAGGATGAGTGTGAATAATTTATTTGGAAGGATGAAGCAAAAGCGACCGTGGTCTATTTTAAGTATCAAATTCAAGAATAAACTTCATATACTTAAGTAAGCCCACAAATAGTCTCAGGCAGAATAGCGGATTTGTGAACTGATATTCAAAACCGGGATCTCCTAACGTAGAACAGGAGTACTGACTATTTCATTGTGAAGTTTGGTTTAACAAAGAGACTGTGGGAAGCAGATGAGTAATCCGCGTAGCTCTCACAGACCGCATGGTGTTTTCATGTCTCACTGACGTCTGTGACGTTTTTGTGAAGTAGTTTCGATGCGCGCAAGACATGAGTCAAGTTAGTTTGCCTCGACGATGTCGTGAAGAGCCTCTTTCTGCACTGACAACTACTCGCGTGCTGAACCCCACCTTTGGAGACTTCAACGCGTGTGTCAGAGAGAACTGACGCTGAACAGTGTGAAGCAGTCGGTTCTGTTCAGTTTACGGATCATTTTCTATGAACCTGGCATAAACAGATGTTGAGTACATAATATTTTAGACTGAGGCCTCGAAGAAAACTTTTAACGCCTGATTTCCGATAGGAGGCGTCAACCTTACTGCCGTACTGCTACGCCCGGGAATCATATTAACGTGCGTACTCGTAAAATTAAGATCAACGGTTAGTTGGTTTCTGTATGCTGTAACAGAAATTTGATTCGTGCAGAATTTTTGGTTACGTTCGTACAGAATTCAGGTGCACTGCAACTAATTATAAAGTCGTAACTTATGGACGTTTTAATTGGATATGCTGTGGATTGTTTTGGGTTGGCCTGAAATTAATCGATTGATTGATTCGTGTGTGCTACACTCAGAATATCAGTGTCGAATTGAGCATGCGTGTAAACGCGACACTGATACTGCCGTGTAGGCACAGTGCATCGAGCTGTTCAGACTTTCACACAAACTATGGATGTTAAATAATTGGACTGTTTTCTTTGTTTTGACTGTTTGATAACTGTCGCTGTAACCTTGGTAACTGTTCTTGTTCCTGCCTCTTCTCAGGACAAAGATGAGCAGACCCAACTGGAGATGAAGCACCGGAAAGAAGAGGACGACCTGTACCGGAAGTTCGCGAGACAGAGAGAGGAAGAGGACAAGCGGATGCGCGAGGAATTCCGGGTGAGTGCAGCAATCAGTCTGATTAGGGGCAGATTTATCGGCATAGCATTGTTGGAAAGACTTCTGATCTGAGCAACGATAACTTGATATAGGATACGGATTTCAACTGACTCTACAAAAAGAAAGTTTGGGACTGGACGCTGTCTATTCTGATTTTATTCGGCCTTAGAAGTGGGCCTTTTCGCATAAAAACTTCTGCAAGCACTACTTGTTTCCCACATTCACGTTACATGTCCAGTGCCAAGTAATTATATTCTGTATTTCCCTTCTAATTAAGCTCTTCGCGCAGGATAATTTTGGTTAGAACATCTCAGACGCAGAGATCACTTGTGTGTGTGAGGTGTTGGGGCAGGTGGAAGGATATTCTTAGAGTTGCTTTACGCCTCGCAGGACGAGTGGGAGAAGGAGCTGGAGCGCCTGACGTCTCGCTTCCAGCGCGAACTGCAGAACAAGAAAAAGCGACCGGACGAGCAGAAGGTGCTCACTCTGCGGCACCAGCAGGAGCGGGAGGACCTGGAGAAGAACATGACGATCCGGCGGGACAAGAAGAAGGAGTCCCTCACTCGCAAGCTTCTCGAGCACGAACGGTGAGCTCAGTTGGCGTGCAGGGGTTATGAAGACGCTACCCGCCGAACGCGTACATTTGCACTACTGTGCATAATGAAAAAGTATTTACCACCAAGAAAAATGCCACTTCAACGAATTTGTTGCAGAACGTTTGCGATATAATGTTAGCAGGGTCTTTAATAAACTTTCACGAAGTCGCCATTTATAACCCGGCGGCCCGCGAGTTCATAATAAATGATAGGTCTAGATGTGATCCCAGGTCTTAAAAGGTTGAGAACCCTGCCCTAATACAAGGGCAGGTACACCCAGATTTTATTACCGACAGCAGCAAATAATTTTGTCCAGACAGACTCTGGAGCCCACCCAGCCTCCTGTCAAGTAGATACAGGAACTCCATTCGTGAAGCCAAGCCGACAGGAGCGTGACACTGACCTCTTTCTTCTGACTAATATGAATGGTAAACTCTACACGACCTTGCTGCTTATGCACTATCAATTTATTTTTGGTTGTTTGTAATAACAACTAATATTTTAGAACGTTGTACCTTCTTGCAATGTGTTGAAATTGTATCCAGTTGGAGAGTGTCCTCAGTCTGTTCAAATGAATCCTGCGATAATGCCATCAAATAGTCCACACATCACTCATAAGCTTCTTATCGTACGTTGGCACATCGAGAAATTCTAGAAAGCATTTATAAGTCTACTTTCCTTTAAATGTTTCCATCTGTTTCCTTGTGCTTTGTACTTTTCAGGCATAACCTCTAAGTTTTGCATGCCTGTCATGTGTGTAAATTTCAACATACAAAAATCCTTCTTCGTGTATAATTTCATATCATTCTCGCCGTTGGTACACCAGCTGTAACATTAAAATGAGAACGCTAGTGTCATGTTGTTATTTTGCATTGTGCAATAAATAGTCTGTCTCTAACAAAATTTTTCTTGCTTTCGAAGATCTCTCACGACACGAAATTGCAGGAATTTGCACTTGTTAGTGACGCTTTCTATAGACTAGCGAATGGCCTAGTTGAAGTATCAGACCAATTGACCTATAGACGTTCTAGCTTTCTCCATATTTCAGTTATCCATAGAAAATGGCCGATTGGCTCCATGCTGGTTTTTGTCTAAATAAACGTTTTGTCTATATTCTTTAATTTCCATGGCAACGCATGAAAAGCTAAAAGGCAGTGTTAAATACAAAGCCACGGTCAGTTATCTTTATTTATTAGTACGTGGGACGACGTTTCTTTCACTATTCGGTGGGTTAATATTTCGGGAAGTAAAATCTGCTGATAAGGAGGCGGAAGGCACAGATAACTTGCCCTATAAGGACAAAACGCTCGATTACTAAATGTTAATTTTTGTAGGCAAAAAGTCCGTCTAAATTATATTTAAAAATTGATTCCCTGCCTCTAAGAAAACACAACGTGTCTTAGTTGCAAAATTAAGTTTACTAATCCTATTTAAGGAAATAATTTCTTCTCGTAATCACACGAAACTCATAAATATGCCTGCGGGAAAAAAGAATGCAGATTTCCGAAATGTTAAAGCAGGTGGTGCCAATAATTTCTGCTGGGCTTTAAATTATTTTCAAAATTATTTACGTGGTCACCAAAAGTTTATGTTTGTCGTAGAACGTCTTGTTTAGCGTTTTCTGGAACGAGACGCAGCGGTAGTGCTCACTCTACATTCCTCGCTTCTGCCAGGTGAAACCATGGAAAGGGAGATGACGTGGGACGCTGTCCTCGATTGCTACCGGCCGACCGGTTCGGATTTCTCCAATATCGGCTGCTACAAAAACACAAATGGAGGCCGCCGCAGAGGTGACATCCAGCCAGGCCACATTTTACGACCTAAAAATGCGTCATTCTTGGGAGGAATACAGTTTCTGCCACAAATTCCGTCAGCGTGTATTTTAACATTGACAGAGCTCCATTGCAAAACACACACGGAAATTATGGAGACTTTCGTAGTTGGAAATTTGTTTACATTGTGGGAGCCTATAAGCCTCTCCAAGCGAAAGGCGACACACTGAATACGCTCACATCAAATGACACCAACAGTGGGTTGCCATGGAAGCGATTAGTCAAAAATAAGTTAGAATTGTTAAGGTCAGGGGAATATGGTTGACATTGAAACCGTACCATGTTAACTCTGCCCACAGGGATTGCGTCATGACGCAAAAATGTTTGCAGAGAAGTTTAGAGGTTGAAACTATCCGAATTGAAGCCATTTTCACCCAGGAAAAACATTCACTAATTTGTGTTTTTAAGGTCTCTTGCAAAGTTATGCCATGTCAAGAAAATATGCAATTTAAAGTCTGTAAAAGTGTAGGGTGATGTGAACTGGCTTAGGATAGGGACAGTGCCATTGTCCTTTGACATACTTACAAGAAAATTGGACGTTCTGACCTGCTTAATGGAGACTGCCCATAGTTTTCTCAAAAGCCATAGACTTTTGGGAAGGGCGTATGGCCTGAAAATACAAATTAAAATTAAATTACTTGGTGATACGTCTCATGCTTGAAATTTGTGAAATATTTGTGTTCTTGCCACTGTTATCGTTTGTCTTAAAGCTATTCTTGTGCCTAAGCATTATTGCTGGGATGTGTATATGTGGAGTGGAGGAGAAGTTTCCGCGTATTCGTCGGACATTGCATCGTAATGATTACTGCTCTTGATTTGTATTTTGGAGGTGCCAAGTTCAGATCCCAGCCTGGAGACTAACTATCCTGACTGAAGTTTCTGTGATTTTCCTCGGTGCTTCCAAGTAAATGCTAGGGCACCTTAAATTAGGGCACAGTGAATTATTCCAAGTCTTTTCCAATTCATTATTTATTAGTTGTTCTGTCATTCAATGCTACAGCAGGCATTAATTAAACCATACAACTACACACATTCTGCAGAGGCAGGTGAGGTCATGCTCTGACTGCTGGCTTAATAAACCGTTCAAAATTTTTGAATACCATTAGTAATAGTTTCTGAAGCTGAAGGCCACATTTTCATAACTATCTCATGTTCCAGAGCGGCTACAGCGGCACTTGTGGAGAAACAGAGTCGCGAGATGTTGGAGCTGATTAATGAAAAGCGTAGCGAGTACATGATGGCTGAGTCACTGTACCTGGATGAGGGAGATGGCTACACAGAAGATGTTCTGCTGCCTTACCCCAGCCAGGCGCCCATCCCAGCACCTCCAGCTCTGTCCAAGTTTGAGGTGTACAATGATCCTGTTGAGTTTGCAGACATTGACCAAATAGCCATTTCGGTAAGGAAGCAGCTGTATGGCGCTGTCTTCAATTTAACATCCTGTTAGTTGAATTGTATGTGCACAGGCAAAGATTATTGGGTTAACTGAGGTGTAGCACAAAGCTTTTCGTGTGCTTTCAGGTGGCACAAGAAGATCAGAAAACCTTCACAGACTTGGTGCGGCAACTGGTAGGACGTTGTGGTTCAGACATTGAAAAGGCCAGGTGAGACAGGCTCCACCTCTGTATTTATGTGAAACAAATCTGGTCCCTTTCTTGCTCACATTTCACATGCCCTCTGTTACAGGACCATCTTCAGATGGATCACTGTCAAGAACCTCAACACAATGCAGTTTGATGAGAACTTGCGTGGGGACACACCAATGGGACTCCTGCGAGGCATCAAACATGGGACTGAGAGCTACCATGTCCTGTTCAAGCGGCTGTGCAGGTCAGTTGCTGGCATCTTATGAATGTGTTTGTTATACACACACAATTCTGTGGGTCAGAACAGCCTTTATTTATTCAAGTCATTGCTATTAAGAGGATTCTATTGTATGATATTATTTCAATCACTTCTTTGCATTTTAACTTTCTCCTCAGACTGAGGTTTAATTGAAGACTAAAATATTTTGTTTGACACAACAATTTTAATTGTATGATGACAATCTCTGAATTTGTGCACATGTTTCATGATGAAATTATATATTTCAGTTATGCTGGTCTGCACTGTGTGGTGATCAAGGGTTATTCCAAGTCAGCGGGCTACCAACCTGGAGTACGTTTTGAGGATAATCGCTTTCGCAACTCCTGGAATGCAGTGTATGTAGCTGGTGCTTGGCGATTTGTGCAGTGCAACTGGGGAGCAAGGCACCTCGTCAATGCTAAGGAGGTTCCTAAGGCAGGCAGCAAAGGGAAGTCTGATAGTCTCAGGTAATTTGTAACTCACTTCTCTGGCTTTCTGACTTTGCATTCTGGAAGTTCACTCCTGACATGGTAAGAACTATTACCAACTTTCCTTTGAATATAAAGGCCAACAAGTCTTGTTAATTAAAAATTATGTAATTGCATATTTTCAAAGTCATCTTCAGATTCTGTGCTGAAGCCCTTGGGTTTGTGATCAGCTGAATTGAGTGTGGATTCTTTTATCCTCTATATCTCAAAAAGTGAGTCCCGCGCCGTAGCCGCGCAATCTGAGGCAACATGTTTCGGACCGGTGATACGGAATGCGCACTGGTTCGAGTCTCGAGGAAAGAAATTTCTCATGAGATTCTTGACCAGTGTATGGGACCGGTGAAAACCCAGCATCATGAGGAAATGGGTAGCGTAATCCGGTCAGGAAAACTAGCAATGGCTGGGGGATTCGTCGTGCTGACCACATGTCACCCTATATCTGGTTGGATGATCATTCACCTCTGCTTAGGCATGTGAACGTGAGGCCAGCATCCAGCTAGTCGGCTTAGGCTCACATAGGGTTCTTACACCACGGATTATTATTATTATTATTATCTCAAAAAGCGAAAATGTTCTGAATGTGGAGAGAAGCATGTCCCAGTCATGACAAACTGTAGGAGGTTTCTTATGGCAGTCTTTTATCCCCATTATATAATTAAGTATAAATATGGGAGCTCACACCGCAGTGTTCATAAGGGTTGATACAGTCATAAGGTATGAAAATGACTATAGGCTTCATTACTGAATAGCAGATAGTGACAGCTATGTAGCCTGGACTAGAGTGCTTGCTCATGTAATGATTCTTTAGCTGTGTAAAAGTATGTATGAATATTTTGGGGTGCAGTATGCATTTCTTTACCTTTAGTTCTATTCTGAAATAAAATACCTCAAACATGCTTATGAAGATCAGTTTACTAAAAGCATTTTGACAGTGAAATAAAAATTGAAGTGTCATGCCATTGGGTTTTTGATGGATATCAGCCCCTGAGCCTGCTCCATTGCTTCTGGTGTTTACACAGGTATGAATATGATGATCACTACTTCCTGACTGACCCACGGGAGTTCATCTATGAGTTCTTCCCCTTACAGTCAGAGTGGCAGCTTTTGAAAAATCCCATCACATTACAAGACTTTGAGGAGCTGCCATTTGTGAGGTCCCTCTTCTTCCGATATGGACTATACTTCCCTGATTCCAACACAAAGGCTGTCATGTTCACAGATTCTACTGGTCAGTATTAGGTTAATTAACTTTCTGTATGTGCATTGCATATTGTGTGTGTGTTTTGTATTGGAAACTACTGAATGGATTTTTATTACATTTGGTACTAGGAGTCTGCACTGAAAGTTACATGAAGATGGAATTTAATTTCACCCTTTCTGGTCTATTTATGTTTATATGATGTTTTTTCATTGCACACATCCCTCCATATGGGGCTTATAACCAGAAAGGGTCAACATATTTTCTCAAAATTGATTTACACATGACATTAAATATAGATCTTGTTGAGATCTAAAACATTCACTTGAAATACTTTTCAGTATAGTAAATGTTAAACAAAATGCAAGATGATGTTTTGTCCAATGTCTTTTGTGTTTCCTCTCACCTAAATTTGACATTTTTAGGCATTATTTTTGTTTTTGTGAAACTAGGCCTTCACCCTGGTGGAAGAACATGATTTTAAAACTAATTAAAAATGAAATTCTAAGGAAAATATTTGGGTCTCCAACAGATGAGGAATGAAAGAAATGTATATTTTTATGTAAATTAAATCAAACATGTAGATGATTTTGTGCAGTTTGGAAGGATTAAATGTGAAAAAGTACTTAATTTTTAATGGAAATCTCATGGACAGAGACCACATGGAAGTCCAGAGGGAGGCTTTTGTTTTAATGGGTTCCATAACAAAGATATAATATGCTGACGTGCAGGTCCAAAGGTCTTGTTTTGATACACAACCAAATTCAGTTTGATCTTTTTCACATGAGATCCTCAACTTTCACCTCTAACCAGTTTAAAATTTGTGGGTCCCCTACAAGCCACATCATCCTATCATAATGGTAATGCATCTCAGGAGATATGTTTTCAATTGTAGTCTGAGTACCAGTTACCCTAACTGAGGTTTTCATGGTTTCCTTCTGTCCCTCCATTCATATGCCAAGGTTATACAGTGACAGTTCTCTTCCCCATGTATCCAATTTTTTTAAAGGAACTATTGCTTTCTATTTATTGTTATTAAATAACCCAGAAATAAACCAAACTCCTCAAATGGGCAAAGGCCAGACTACAAAGGTTAGCTGGTTAGATTCAGACTGAGTGCTGTGTCCACAGGTGCAGCCACTGTGCGGATAGCCATGCCAGCCCACATGCAGTCCAGTCTCATCTTCCATTACAATCTGAAGTTCTATGATAGTGATGGTGATGGATTTGATGGAGTCAGCCTTAAGCGCTTTGTCATGCAGGTTGGTTAGAGTATGACATAACTGGGCACAAATCATTGCTGCATCTGTCTGTCAGCAATTCCTGTTTTACTTTACAAAATTAGCAACATTTGTATGCCATTTCTGGTCTTGGCTTGCATTATCATCATGTAGATATGTGTCCCTTCTCCATCCTACTTTCCTTAAAATTCTTCTGTCTGTATGATGATGCTACCAGAAGGTGTATTTGTTAAGCAGGTTAGAAATTTATATGCATGCATAATTTTTATTAGTACAGATTGTAGCTGTGTTTAATTTTCTAGATATACTGTCCAAGATCCACATCTTTGTAATGTTTTAATTGTTAATGTAGAGTAAATGTTACACCAAACTTTGTAGATGTGTTTATGAAACTGGAAGATAAACATAAATTCTATATATTTCAAGACCTTACATTAAGTGCCATGAGTGTCACTCCCACCCCAGGTATTCTCATGATCATCACAATGAAATTATTCAGGTAGGAAAGAAAAATTACAAAGTTGGGGCCTTCTATTGTGGCATGGTTTCATAAAACTCCATCAGATGGTTCCAAAATCATTAGGGAAAAGACAGACGCGCAGACATGGTGATATATAAATAGACTAAAATATAAATAATGATTTGCATTACCCATTGTATTAATATGTGTTTTCCAGTCTGTGGTAGGTAATACTGTTGCATTTCGAGTGCATGCACCATGCAGTGGGGCCTTCCTGCTGGATATCTTTGCTAATGCTGTGACCCCCAAGGAATATTTGACAGGAGAGCCCATGAAATTTAAGAGTGTCTGCAAGTTTAAGATTGCATGTGAAGAGTTGCAGACAGTAATGGTGCCTCTGCCAGACTGTGCCAGTGGTGAGTGGGGACCCACAAAGGCAACGAGACTGTTTGGACTGGTGCCCATTACCCATCAGGTGAACATTTATAATAATTCTCAGATTTAGTGTTGGGTTTTTCAAGGAAATAAAATCTTATGGTGTGACTCTATATACATGGATGAGTTTCAGCATGAGTCACTTGTGAAATTATTACCTTCAATGATGTTATGCAAACTTCTGATGTGGCCATATTCTGTGCATTGTTATGTGAGTGGTTGTGGATGTTACACAACAGAATCCCTGTATCTTGTCTCAGGTCTTTGTGTGTACTTGAAAGATTTATTTATATTGCACAAAGTTTAATGACTTTACTTGCAGTAAAATAAAGAAATATAATAATTTAACTTCAAATTTCAACAGTCACTATTCTGTAGGAGAAAAAAGCACATTATAAAAATTTGTGTTAATATTAATGCTGTTGAATTCATTTCTGTGGTAGAAGCCACCTTTCTTTGTAAACCACACAAATATGTTGATGTTCTCGGTATTGATGTGCAGGATGCCCTAGTGTTTGCGGGTCGCGAGCTTGAGCTTCAGTTCCGCATGTCTCGACCTCTGACCGACTTCATGGCTACACTGCACAAGAATGGTGTTGAGGAAAAGAGGCTTTCGAAGTTTGTGTCACATTCTGTGTCAGATGACGATGTAGTTACATTTGTCATCAGTTTTCCTGAGGAAGGACAATATGGTTTGGATATCTACACACGGGAGCTGGGCGGCAGTCAGAGCGATGGCAGTAGCGAGAAACATCTGCTCACTCATTGCTGCAAGTACCTCATTAATTCTTCCAAAAGGAACTGATGCAACTGAGTATACAAAGCACAGAAGCACTCCATAATGTGGCAGGGTTACCTTTTTGTTTATTTCACAAGATAGCCACCTGAACTGGCAAGAAACAAAGGCACTTGATAAAGGGAACAGAAGATATAGGATTGTGCCAGTAATTACTGAAGGGGAGGCAGAAGGTAGGGACAGGTACCATAGACATAAAGGTAGCAGCAAGGTGCTTTAGTACTGGCTGCATGTAAAGTAACTTTCATTTGTTAATCTTGCATTTGCCTTCTGATGTTTCATCTTGATGTCTGCCAGACTTTGGATCAGTATGACAGTGACTTACATTCAGGTACACTTTATCAGTATTGTTGTAGTTCTTTAATACATGCTGTGCTGCGTGGACATGGTCACAGGGATGGGGATTGGAGAGGAAGCAGTCATAGTCCAAGCCTGAACAGACTGAGGTCACCCTGAATATAAGGTCAACAATTGTTCTCACCCTGTTCTCTTTGCTGTGAGATATCTTGCCATTTTATTCTGGATGAACTTTAGTCTAGAAGTTTATAAATGTTTCCTGTGACAATGTGATTTTACAGATCATCTCACTTCAGGGTAAACATAACCATGACTTAGGAGACATAATTGTCATGTTAAAATGTAAATTAATTATTTACAGAAAAACCTAGTATAATAGAAATGTTTAAGTTAAGATGTAATGTTATCCTAACATATGCTAACAGAAAGATAGGAAACACACTCATTTCTAACGCTTTTATAATAGTGAGCAGCTGTACAAAAGAACAATCCATCCCTTAAAAATTCTGCTCATTTCCAGTGATATTTATAGAAATTTTGTATGGATATAATTCATCATTCATTTGGGATGATACAAGACAAACGTACTTCAGTGTGTAAATAAAGTTGAATCCCAAGTGCCCCATCTTTTTTATAGACATTCTGTTCTCTTAACTGGGAGGAATAGGAAGTCCCCCAGATCTAGCAGTGGAGACCTGTGTCAGTAAAAGTACCTTCTAACTCTTGCACAAAAGCAGTATGCCTATTTCCTGACATTGTAGTTTTAGGCGCTTTTTATGCATGTATGTAAAATGAATAATGACATCAGGTGATTACATTTCCTGTCCATTCATCCACATGTTCTTTTTCCAAAATCATATGATGTGTTTGGTACTGAAGGTCTGTACTAAAAGATGTCAGAATTCATCTAGGTTCATTAGAACTCATACTTTATGTAAAGACATGAATGAACATTTTATAGCATTTCATTAAGTACACATTAAAATGTAAAAGTAACATTTCTTAACAAGATATGTATTTCTCATGACATAACAATTTTTGTATGAAGAGATTTATTTTTACTGATGTAGGGAATATACTGTAAATGTGATAGAACATTGTTTAAAGCAGATTTATTCCCCTTATGACACCATGCAGTAATGATTCTGAGAGAACAGAACATTCTTGGCTATCATCACACATGAATATCCAGTATAAGGCATTGTCTGATGAACCATTCTGTACTTGTGGAGTCAGAATACTTTGAGCACATATCCATCTGAAGCACAAAAATACTATTAGATTAGTAACACTGATTCTAAAACTGATTACAATTTTCTTTATACTCCAATGAAATTCATATCAAGGGACATATTTGGTCCACGGTCCATACCATAAGTGAGCACCTAATGGTAATTTGGATCACCTATCGAATGTCTTGTGTTTTATCTCCTCAGATGACATGTACAGATGAATTTAAACTATAGGGAGTAAAGCTTCTAGTGGTAATCCTAAAACTGCATGTAGCTTTGTGGTTTGGTGAAAATGTGTATGTTTCAACAGACTTATGCAGTGTTTTGAGGACCCTTGCATTGCCTTCCCCCAAAACTATATATTCTTAGTTATAGTTTAGAAGGTACAAACCAAACAAGGTGGGTTAAACACATTTGTACTATGTTTCCAGAGCTGTGTACTTAAAATACCCTCGGCTACCCTGGAGCCAGATGTCAACTCCAACTCCTGATTTAAATCTCCTTCTCTTATCCTCTGGATGAAATAGCACCTGAAATTGCTCATAGAAAAATTACAATAACCAGATACACAACAGGTAACTTTTAATTTTTTATCATGTTTATAAATGTATTGTTTAATATTATCAGAGGGTTTTTTCCCGTACAGGGATCAAATTTATACAGTTGGTAAATTACATAGCAAACAACCATTAATGATAATTCAGGGATTATTCTAAATATTTATTTCACTCCTGAAATTATTTTAATTTAATTTTCATTGGTTTTATTGAATAAAAAAAAATGTTTAGTGACAGACTATGCAAAATATTTAAATTTATAAATTTTATGAGTTTGTTATTTGCTTCAGAAGAAGTTGAGTACAGACAGAAGGAGAAACTATTTGAAATACTTTAAGTAAGTCATGGTTGTAGAACATAACCTAAGGAACGCCAGTTCTTTTTTGCTGATTTAACACAAATAATTATCATGGATGTTGCATGTCTGACAGGAAATGATAATCTGTGAATTTTCTTTATGCATTGATTGCTATGTGTACAAAGGACATGACCATTAGTCTTAGATAAGGCTTGGAGAGAAAGAGAAATGCAGAGCATATGGCATACAAAACATTCATAGTTGCTAAACAGTAAGATTTTATTTACAAACAAAGCTCACATACTGTTCCACAGTAGCACAGCTAATAACTAACTAACTAGATGGCTTAGGGAACCGGAAGGTTCATCACTGAATTAACCAAAGCCCTCCACCAGTCCCTGTTCTGAGCCAGCAAAATCCAGTTACCATAAGCTCCCATCTCCCATAGATCCTGCCTGATATTATCCTCCCATCTATGTCTAGGTCTCCTCAGCGGTCTCTTCACTTTAGGCTTCCTGACGAATACCTGGTGCATACCTCTTACCCCTTCCATGTGCACCACATGCCCTGCCCATCTCATTCAATACTGGGGGAAGAGTGCAGATTTTTAAGCTCATTGTTATGTAGATTTTTCCATACCCCATTCTCCCCTTTCCTAAGACTAAATATTCTCCTCAACACTCTGTTCTCAAACACCTGCAATGTTTTTTCCTGAGAATGAGAGACCATGTTTCACACCCATACAAAACAACAGGCAAAATTATTGTTTTGTATATTTTAATATTTAGGTTCTTAGAAATGAGACAAAATATTTTGAACTGAAAAGTAGCAAGCATTTCTGGAATTTAGTCACCTAATTTCCTCATGAATATCATTTTTATTTGTTATTGTTGTTCCAAATATTTGAACTGTGCCACACTTTCAAAGGATTTATTAACCACCCTAATATGATTTTGCCCACCTGTCTGCTGACAGGATACTAACATGTACTTTGTTTTTTCTGAATTTATTTCTAGGCCAACCTTTCTACTAGCTTCTAGTAAAACTTTTGTGTTCCTTCCTTAAAATCATTTGTGCCTCTGTAACACAGCTAATATAAACATTAACCAAATATTATTTGGGTAAATGAATGTTTGGGTATCAGCTCATAGCCAGAAAGTTCCATAAGGTTTAAATTATAATTATTTAGTGCTACAGTTCTTTGATATATTTCAATTTCTGGTGAAGAAGTTTTAGGTAATTGGCATATCATAGAAATGTCAAGAGACGGGTAATTTTCTTAATGAAAATTACAAAGTGTTTCTGATTCATCAACATTTCATCACGGGCTGCCATGTGAAGTCACTAGACTACTGAGAATGACAGAATCAGTGACAAGGAGGGAAAAGCTGTGAAATTAACTGCCCACAAACCCTGAGTTTCACTCTTGCAGTATTCTTGGAAGGACATAGGTAATTTAGCTTACCTTTGTGACTTGCACTACCAACCAAATTTTAAAACTGCTGCATGCATGGTGGTTAAGTTGTATAATCTGCAAACGGAAGGCATGGAATAACTGAGCATATACATTTTTACAGGTCTGCCACACAAATGTGACTCCAAAATCTTTTAAGTATGACATGGTCAGACTGGATGATAGTGTTTGTGCTTCAGTTAAGCTTGAGATTTTCTTGTTACCAGTATTATCATACATATTTCTGGCACTAAGCTTGTGTGCCTTACAACTTAAATTCTTTCAAATTGAGGAGAATTCATTTTAAAATGTAGTACAAAAGTGAAAATATAAATCCATGTGCTGAAGGCAAAGCCCCACATTGCTCATAGCCCATGTTAAGCTGTAAAGCCCCTCTGCAAGCCATCATTCCACCACTGAGGCAGCGTTCCTTGCTGAAGTGTTTCTTGATTTTTTTACTGTCCCTCTAGGAAAATACTGATTACTGATCATTAAATGAATGAATGAAGATTCCACTGTTATTCCCATTACCTCAGTAGACAGGCAACACCATACATTTGGAAACAGTGATCAAGAGAGTGCAAACATATATCATCTCTGCGCTTTGTCTTTTCTGTCCTACTTACAATCTGTAGTGATCACTATAAGGGATAGGTGAATAAAAATCTCACACCAACACATATGGGCATGGTATATTTAAGAGCACATACAATGAAGTTACATATGTATAAGCATGTTTATTCATACATTATGTTTTCAGTACCAACTGATAAGTTTTATTATACTTCTACCATATTTAATTAATTTATACTTACCATGAAAGAGTGATAATGTAGTAACATATAAAAATGAAGGTTTGGAAGCTACATAGTGTAAGAACTAGGCAGTATTTGGAGTATCAAACAGTACTTGAAAGTTTTAACTGTGCTGTGATTGTTTAGTGACACACATACTACACTGCTACTCTTGTACTGTATGTTATCTATACTGTACTGTACATAACACATTGCTTTCAATAAATATAGTGAAAACTGCTAATGTAAACAGTGGGTAACTGCTCCAGGCATCTGATTGTTTCCCTTGGTCCTTTTATTATACGTATTGAACAATATAAAATAGTTTATTATTTCATAATGTTTACCACAGATTTAAGGTGCTGAACACTATTTCATGTAAAACTGATCATCCTTGCATAGTTAGTCAACTAGGCAACAAGTAATACACCAGTGTAAACATACTGAAAATGCCTTGGCAGCAACTTTTAATGTGTTGATGAAATTTGTTCTTTTTTTCTTTGAACAGTGTCCTGTATCCTGACTGTCTTATCATGGCTTTAAATGTATTATTAGAACCTACTTGGGCCCAGCCACCCATGTACTGATGTCTCTTGCTGGCAATGAACACAAGGCTGGAGAGATGCTGTCACTGACTTCTGCAGGCTGTATCTTACTGCCATCACTCTCACTGGTCTGCTTGTACTGTTTCATCTGCCATGCCATCAGCTGCAACTCATGCATTCCAACCAACTGTCTGTTGGTTCCAGTCTCCTTCGTGATTTGACTGATGTCTTCAGTACACAAGACTTCTCTGTTTCTCTGTGCAGTTGACAAGAGAGGTGTGCTATGCAGACGTTCCAACTGACACATTAAGGTCTTAGCAACCTTTATTGAAATGTAATACACTGAGAACAGTAACTTATTATTGGCATGCCCACCAGGCAACACTATTAATGTTAAACTTACTTATTGACACATGACTCTGTACTCATCACTTCCATCTTCCTTTATTTGTGAGACTCACATTTATCTGGAAACATGACACAGAGAACAACTTTCAACAGTGATAAAGCTTTTTGTTTCATAAAGCCTACATAGGTCATAAAACTATTCAGAAACACCTGAGGTTCTGGGTGCTTTCTGATGCCATTGATTTTGTCTTTCAAAACGAGATAGAATTCTGAAAATGCAAACTTCATATAAAGATTCTGGGTTTGTACAAATTCTTATAAGATTGTTTAAAATTGTGTTAGGGAAATGAAATATATGGAAAAAGGAAATGGGAGAAAAACAATAAGATGGACTGTAAAAATGGATAAAATCGGTTCAGGATTTTTACAGCGTTGTAAAACATGCAACTGTTAATGAAGTCAGAAAGCATTGGCGCCTTTATACTTCAAATCATATATGCTTTAATCTTTCAAATCACAGATTACTACGAACCGATAACACGCGTACGTGGAAACAAACGAGTGTTTTGTACGTATTCTTTGCTACATCCAAAGATGTCTGTAAGTTTGTCTGTGCTCCCGTCTCTTTGTATCATGTATTACTGCATTTCCTTTTCCGCTATTAACAAGGTGTCGTTGGGAATAGTTGTGTTCTGTAATGTAATGTATTGCTAATCATCGTGAGGTAATTATTGTTAGAAATATAGAAAGTTGTATAATAACGGCATAATATGCCTCCCAAATTTGATCCAAGCGAAGTGAAAGTTGGTAAGTAAAGTTTTATGCATATATATGGCTGTAAAATAATCACGTGTGTTAACAGGTAATGACTACAGTGGTTAATAATTTTCAGTGTTTCTGAGATGTGTTGGTGGTGAAGTGGGTGCGACATCTTCTTTGGCCCCAAAGATAGGTCCCCTGGGTCTTGTAAGTAATTAAATTTGCCGGTCATTAATGTGAATGTAAAAGAGGCAGTGACAGTGGTGACGTCCAATAATACTGTTTGGAACACCTTTCTCTGTTTGCAGTCTCCAAAGAAAGTTGGCGATGATATTGCAAAGGCAACTTCAGATTGGAAAGGTCTGAAAATCACTGTGAAGCTTACAATCCAGAATAGGCAGGCAGCAATATCAGTTTGTCCATCAGCAGCATCGCTTATTATTAAAGCACTTAAGGAGCCCCCTCGAGATAGGAAGAAGCAAAAGAACAGTTGAGTGATATACTTCATATTTCTGCGTTACCTGTTTTTAAAATATAATTTAAACAACATTTAGGTATTCATTTGTACAGTGTGATGAGATCAGCAGTTGTGTTTGGGATATTTCTTAATATACTACAAGGTGAATTTCATGCAGTCTTTTCAGTACAGGTTTATTCTGTAGTGCCTTTATCCTTCTAGTAGTGTCATGGTAATTGCTTTCAGTTAAACACAGTGGCAACCTTTCCTTTGATGATGTAATGAGCATTGCCAAAATGATGAGGGACAGGTCCATGTCAAGAAAAATGGAGGGAACTGTGAAGGAGATCCTAGGAACATGTCAGGTATTGTAGTATTGCATATTTTTATGCTATTTTTAATTACTGGAACAAAAAAGGATATTTTGACATTGCTGCAACTTTCTGTGTTTTAGTCTGTTGGCTGCACAGTAGAAGGAAAACTTCCGCATGATGTAATTGACCAGATAAACAGTGGAGAGTTGGAAGTGCCAGAAGATTAATTCCAAATGTAAGTAGGCTGTTGAGTTGCAAAGTTTCTGGAAACAAAATATGTTATATAGGCCAGTTTCCAGAACTTGGCACTCAGCAGCAGAGGTAGGGGTTGGCATCCCATCCACCCACTTTGTCTCTTGCCACAATTTTGTTTTATATATATTTATATAACCTAGCAAACTGACAAAATTGTGGGCCAGAGACTGACTACAGTGGGCATCAATTTGCCACTGGGGAGAAAACCCCAATAATAAATCATGTAATTATATGTTAATTGTTCTCTTTCTTTCTTTTTAGGCTTGGCGCTAAGAAATAAATAAAGTTATCATCATTAATCACTTTATTTTCCTTTTCCTAACTCTTGTGTAGGTGTCAAGTCCACATTAGGAATCATAGCTACAATTTCAGTTCACCTATGTTTAAGGTGGCTATGCCTTTGATTTGTAATATGTATGTCTGAGCCGCACCACCCTATGGGTGCAACACGCACCCAGGCAGCAACTTGCCATGGAAGCACATAATTTTGAAGCATTACATTGGGGTGCTGAAAATCGGGCGGTGTCAGAGGATAGCAAAGTATGCAATTGCATAAAGGAGCCATGGTTAAACGGGTGCAAGAAAGAACTGAAATCCATCCATAATTAGACTTTGTAAATTAAGAATAGAAAATTTAGTACTTGTACATAGGAGTGGCAGATGAGCTTGGTGCTGCCCTGATGTATGTTCATATGTAAAATTGTTAAAAAGTGGTTTTACAGGGTTCTTATTCTGTGAATGTTAGGAGATATAATATTTTTCAAAGAAACCCCAAGGCTAGAAGGGGAGAAATGTTGCCTGGCCAAGTGAGGCCAAAGAACAGAACATGATATAACTATTATAACCAAAGTGTTGTTGGCTTAACACTCCATTTTACCCAGCCTGAAACTGTCCCATATATAAATTGCAGTGTTAAAGGCTGGTTGGGTACCAGATCTTGTAAAGATTTAATTTTTAGTGCTGTTGCTCACATCCCTTAATACTGCCTGAAAATTCATTACTTGGGTTTTGCTTTGTGAATATTCACTGGGTCAAAACTCATGGACTTTTATTATCCTATTGTGTTTGTGATTAGCACTAGAGAACCTTGCCTCAGCTGATGTAGTTTGTTACTGTGACGCAATTCTGAAATGCAGTCAGCCTGATTCAAGTGAATTTGAAATAATATGTAGGGAAGCAATCATAGCCTAATTTAAGGTATCCTGGCATTTGCCTAGAGGGCTGTGAAATAGTTAAATCCTCTGCCAGTCTCAAGGCCCAGATAGAACTTTGTTGTGTTCATGCTGAAAGCTGTTTTTGTATGGAGCCTCAACATTTTCTGCTGGTAAGCATACTGACGTATGAATGAATGGCCAATCTGAGCCATGAAGTCAAGACTGCACACTACATGGTTATACACAGCTTGAAAATGAGCTTGGAGATATTGTACATTATCGGGTAGAAGTTTACCAATTTTCCAAAGTGTGTGCAGCCTCACATCACCAGGGTGATGTAAGCGTCAAAAGTTGGTGGTAAATGGTATGTTCCCCGTCCAGTGCTCATTTGTCTCCTTAAGGGCAATTTACGCGTTACGTAGCTGTTTAAGAATTCGTTTGAACTATATAAAATATATGCCTTGTATGAAAAAAAATTTGTCTTAAAGGTACAGGCGATATATTCCTCCAAAACTTGTTGCCATCTAGGAAACCACATGGTGTCACAACCCTGAAGACCATAATAGATGTTTTAGATACATGTATTTGTGCTATGACCTGTTCTACATCCTTGGCTTAAACCTATGAAGATTCTCTGGAATGTAAATAAATTGCATTCTATCATCACCGCCCTGAGGGCGCAAGATCTCGTTTCTTTAGTAGTTGTGTCGTATGAATTTAGAATTTATTTTGCTTCTATCGACAGGGATATATATTAGAATAATTCGGGCGCTACGTATTATTACCTCTGATTTTGACGTCCGTAAATCTGGTCAATTCTCAACATCTAATAGTGGCTTAAGTTGGTACAGGAAAGGCACTGCTGTTAACTGTAGTTTGAAGTATTAGTGAGAGAAGCCTGCGAAGACATTTGGGTTGACGTTAAGGCCTTCCTTAGATAAAGGAAAATCTCTTGTTATTTTAACCCATTTTAATGATATAACGATAAACATGGAACAGGCTTAAGATCATAGTGAGATATGGTGTGTCGTATGGAATTGAAGTTCACGAATGTTTTTGCAACATTAATGCGCAAATGCAATTCCGAAATTATTTTTCAGGGTGTGAGAGATGTTTATTGCCATTCTGAAGTGAGATTTCTGTATCCCGTTTAAATGAATACTTCAGTAATTGGAGGAACAACACATAGTGGCCTGCAGTGTAACATTACTGATGTGTTTGGATGGTTTCTTCAAGTTCTGTTGGCTGCTCTAGCATTTACTTGCCTGATTTGTAAGTTACAAACCGAATGACTGTTGAGTGAATGTGTTCAAAAGGACAGATTAGTATGAAGATCTCAGGAAGTAGGAGGGCTGATATACTTATCATTGCCATTTTGATATCTCCTTTCAAGTATTGTAATGCTGGATTGTGTTTTGGTGTTTATGCATTGAATGTGGCCACATATCATACTCCGGTGTATGACCCAATTATGTTTGAACTGTGCATGACAATACATTAACTTTCTGCTTAATCCCTACCTGAACTGTTATATCAGTAACCTAGCATCCAAACTTTTGTTTTGTTTCACAATGTACACTGTGTACTGTAAGTGTGACATTGGCATACATCAGTAATAATGCTCATCCACATTTAAATTAATGTGGAGTGCAGTAATTAGAGCTCCTGCTTCACATGTTTGAACCTTGAAACAATATAATTGCATTCCACAATTTAGCATTCTGAAACATTTGCAGTAAACCTAAATATTGGTGCAAACTCCAAAGTTGTTCAAAATATTTAGTATGTCTGTATATTTTAATGTACATGTTTATAGATGAGGCCTTTGTTAAACTGGCTGTTGAAGAATGAATTAGATATGAAATCTTTTGGGCTGACTTGCTTAATTTAAGCATGCCAACTATAACTAAGTAATTTGTGAGACTTTACAAATAAAACTTTTGTCACATTGACTACACTAAATTTCATTTTATGTAAAAGGTGCAGGTAGTTTTTATCCTGACATACAAATTATGAAGGATGACGGTGGATGGCATATTTCATCACGTTTAGTTCATTTAAAAATACATTGTGAAAGTCTTGCCATTAATTATGTCTCACATAGAAAGAACTGCAAGTGCATTAGTTTTAGGGTTGATTATAAATGTTGCAAGTTCCAAATAAAATGTAAAATGGTAAGAGGCACATTTTAGAATAATGGTGTAGTATATGTTTACTTTGTACTTTATAAAATATCAGGTAAAATAAATTTGTGCTGACACTTTTGATTCTGACAGCCTATAGATTAGGGTATTTGTCTGTCCTTCAAGGCAGATCATGGTAAGTGGGTTATATTGTGAAGTATGTGGCATCTTCATTGTCTTACAGTGAAGAGGTTCTGTGAACCCCGATATGAACGTCGGCCATGGTTAATATGGTTCTATGATACATCCAAACAAGGGATGGGGGCATTAGTCATTCACTTGGCCAATGTTTATTTGGCCACCAAATTTCAGGGAGACCCATGTACATGGTAAGTTCTCTTTTTTAATTGTTTACTAAAATAAATTTAGATAAAAGACAGTGCTGAAAGTCATATAACTTTGTTTGTGCAACAGAATGGTTTTTGTTTAAAAGAATGTGTTGTTTTGAAAGTAGTAAAATATTAGTATATTTGGCTGCATTTAATTTATTTGTTACAGTAAAAGGTGTGGCATATTTAAGCTTAAAAACTATGCATTAAAGCTCTTCTTGTTTATTTTATAAAAACATAAAGCTTATGCTATATATTGTCTTATGTATTGGTACAGAACTTGGTCTTTCACATAATTTGGAGATATTTAAAAACATAGAGTTGAGAAACATGTTGGGATGTATGGTAAGTAATAGGGCACTGGAAGAAAGTAATTTATCAGTTAGTATGGTGGATTTGTTAAATACACTGATTGCTGTTGGGAGGATGTGTAGTGTGCATGTTTAAAATGAGAATTACAAAATTTTAGTTTGAATAACTGAAATGAAGAAACTTGGGCAATGTATAATATTTACATGGACTTTATAAAAGTAGAGTCTAATAAAAGTGTGGGCTGACCTTACTTCCCTCAGGATATGGGATTTTATTCTGACAGTTACCATAGCAAATGGAGTTTCTTAGACAGTTAAATATGTCAGTCCTGTACTAAGGAGTTATGTACAGTTCAAGTTTAGCTTGTGTTTTCATGATGTTCACACAGCAAACTTTGAATATGTCCCATAAATAGTTCTTTGTTTTGTTTTTAGGTATATAATAAACTTCTTGTTAGATTCATCCATTGGTCTTGGGATCATCTATGTGGGAATTCAGATATCGCAGTACCTGTCCAAAGTGAAGCGGTGGGAAGCAATCAGTTTTGGTGAATATGGTCAGTATATCAGTACTTTAAATACCATGTTTACATGTTGAAGATTTCAGTCTTGTACCTTCCTGAAGTATAATCTTTATGTGTTAACAGGCAAGCCACCATCAGTGAATGCGTGGCTGGCACAGTGTTGCCTTTATATGTTGCTTATGGTTATCGTGAAGATGTGTATCATGCTGCTTATCCAGTTGGATTTCTGGGATGATGTCCGAGACTTCATCCTCTCACCTATCACAAATCCGAAGGTTGAAGTTGTCATGGTGATGCTCATCATTCCATTCTTTATTAATGTGAGTGTTTACACTGACAGTGTAGACCTGTTTACTGTCTCACGCTTCTTGCTGTGGTATACCACCTGCTGTACTTATCATAGCTCTGCTCTTTGGCCAAGTATTGTTACTAGAATTTATTGAATGAATGTGTCATAATGTTGGACAGTTTTGTAACAGCTCTTTCTTACTCTCTGTAATTTATGCAGCATCAGATTGTAGGAATTGTTCTCTGAATATCTTTGGTGATGGTTTTATATTATTTCTTTCTTTGTTTTGGACTCATCCATCATCTGTTTTTTTAAAAAGTCTTTAGGATCTTAGAAAAATTACCATGTGTCAACAGATGGATCTGTTTTATCTTCAGGTAACAAGAGGGATACACTTATTCTGTTGGATCCAGTAGTACAAGCTGTTCCCTTTTCTTAGACTACCCTTTTTTATCTGTAGGCAAAGGAAGGTCCTTCCTTCGAAATATAGTAATTTTTTTAAAGTGGATTAAAGTACAAAAAGAAAGAAAGCAACTGTGGCTGATTTGAAGCACCATCCAAGCATTTCCCTGGAGGAACTGAGGAAAACATTGATTGCCACAGTCAAGTTAGCCAATATTTGGACCAAGTTTCAAACCTGGGACCTTCTGAACACTGAATAGAAAGCAGAAAGGCTAATGATTTTGTGTGACGTGTGTAATTTTATTGTATTTTATTTTAGCTCTTTGAACTCACTTTGGGAAAGTGGCTGTCAAATTTAAAGTTAATTTGTGGGTAGACTGGTAAGGGCCTGGTTTGTGTTCTTGGAGGTATGGTTTCTCATTTCTGCAAGGAGTAAGTTATAAATTTGAATCAGAATTTAAGTCAGAGTTTCATACATCTCTAGTTGCTACCTGTAGGCATATATCAGTTTTGTGTTGTTATTTTCTCCAGTGGTGCACCACTTAACAATCACAAGAATGTTGTTCATCAGAGATAGAATAGTGGAGATATTTAAGTTGAGAAAGCTGTCCATATTGTAATTATAGCATAAGTACTGGGAATCCTATGACCTCAGGTGTGTCCAGTTTTAGGGAACATTGAATTTATACATAGATTTTCCTTTGTATATCACCACATGTGTAAGATCTTGGTCACCCAGCTGGTGCATATTGTTTGATATTCAGTGTGATGATCTTGATAACTTGATCAGATATTTAGTTGTATCACAGCCTGGAAAATCTAATGTCATGTGCACTGAAATATGTTACTAAAAAGAACTGAAGCAGTAAGTAACAATGAATGAAAACATATATTCTTTTTAGATTTACTCTGTGAAAAGAAAGCAGTATACTGGGAAACAGATTGGTGGACTGCCTTCCATAAAGTTCTACATGAAACCATGCTGTGTCTTGTTGGCCTTTCCACACTAGTGTTATTTTCACACATAGTGAATCTATGCATCTAAATATAGTATTTTACTGAACAAACGGCACTTTTCCATGCCAGGCACTCATGTTCTGGGTCACTGATAACTTCCTCATGAGGCGGAGCACTCGGAGAGGTCGGCCATCTGACCCAAGTCTCATGCAGAGGGTCAAAGTTCGGTACCGGAAAATCAAGAAGGAGAAGCTTGATGACTCTGAGTCTGACATCCTCCTTTCTGCTGATGAGGAGTTATTAGGAACCAGTGATTGTCTGCAGCAGATGCTGCCCAGTGTGATGATCACATAGGGTTTGTATATATCCTGCTTATGGACTGGTTTTGTGGGGGGGGGATGTATATATGTGCTCAATCTATTTGTAATTTTTTTATAACGTGGATTGTGACATATTTATAAAAAATGTACATCTTAATTTTGATAGGAATAGGGTTTTCTAATATGGTTACACATTATGGGCAGAGTGTGCACTACTGTGATGTAATAATACTCTGAGGCTGGTGATGAATTAATCTTTATGCATTTGAGAGATTATAGCCATGAATTTGAATAAATATTTGTCCTTCAGGGATGCAAAAGTAGATAACTTTCTAAGGAGAAGTTTGATATTTATTTTAACTATGTTTCTATCATCACCACCACCATAATCATTATCATCACCATTATTATTATTTTTATTTATGGTAGCAGTATTTAGTTGTGTAAGAGTTTCTCAATTTGCATGTGCTGGCGTGGATACAAACTGAGAACTCTAAACTAGGGTTGTTTGATTTTAAATGTCATGCATTTTCTGTTTCACATTTTTTCATGCAGATGCTTTTTGAAACCTATTTTTTCATTGAAAGTGTTTTCTTTCTGACTATTAGTTGAATTCAAAATGTAGTGTCATTTCTGAAGCAAGAGGTTCTTCTCATATTTTAATTTTTCTTTCAATTTTGTTGTGCATAATCTGTACAGAGAAATATAGCATCGTTAAAGATGTAGTATTATCTTTCCTTGTTTCTGTCAGTAGTAGGTGTTAAGATATGCTGAATAATGGAAGGATTGCACATGGTTCTTAAAGTTACATATTTTTTGTATGACTTGTTTATAAAAGAAGAATCATTGGATTCTGTAGGTTTCTGACCTACCCCAAGAAGAAAGAACTTGGTTGCGTGGCAGTTTGTGACAAGTATAAAAAAACAAAGACAATATTAACAAAATTAGGCACTTTAAACAAATAGCTAAAGAAATGTAACAAGTGTGATTAATGTGTATGTGACTAATGATAGCCCAGTAGTACTGAAATATGTCTGTAGTATAGTAAAGTATGCTGATGCCATGAGTATCATTTGTATGACAAACATTATGGAAATGTTACAATTTAATTCTTATGTCATTGGGCAGTCATGTGATTTAACATGATGTGGCATATTTACTGATTGAAAGACTTGAACTGCAGTTTAACTATTGTGGCATTATGAGTAATAAAATGCAAAACTGGGTGCTGTTGAAGAATCTTGGTGCCTAATTGGTACGTTCACAGAGTCTTGAATGTCTTGAAGTTGGGAGCTAAGGAAATAATTACTTTTTTGATGCTTTTATTTTAGTATGAACCATGTGTATATAGTTTACTTCCTTCAGGTCATCACTGTTTACATTCTAATCAAAGTGTAACATCACTATTGATATTTTGTTGTTCATTTGGGCTGAAGGATCTTATCAGAGCTCCTTCAATGTTTTATTTCCCATTTCTTTGATAATGCTGTAAGAGATCTGTTATTAATTGTTTATCAGTTCTGCTGGATGTTGTACTGAATATTTGTGCACTTACCTTAGTGGTAGTTCCTACTCCCATAACACAGAGTTGTTGTAATGACAGTTATAGCAACATGTCCATAGCAGCAGGCCTCAGTTTCATTGTATATACTTGTGGGTGAGACAGAAACTCTCTTCCATTAAAAACATTTAAAATTAATTTGAACAGCTACTTCAAGATGCTTTGTGTGTCCAAATGAAATACATTAATTCTCTGTACTTTTGAGTAATATTTTCATTTAATACAGTGTGATCATGGTGTGTTAAGTTTGCTAGGACCAACTGGGCACTGATCACTCGGTTCCAGGCTACATACATTTGCAGAACAGACAACAGATTTCAACTTCCACTACCTGCAATCTGTTGGCTCCTTATGCATCTGTGGCTGCAAATGGTATCATTGCTGTTTCTTGTATTCCCAAGTCTCTTAGTGCCTTGACTTAATTTTGTTATTTTAGAATAAGCTGAATTGCTGAGAAACATAATTGAAGATTGTTGAATATTCTAAATTTTAGTGTATTTTATAAGTGCAAAATGCATGATTGTCTTTTGTTTGGACAGACATGCTATTTATATTCCTCCTTTCTTCCTTTCCTGTAGAACACTTATGCTGTTGCCAAACATGTATGAGGGTTTCATAGGAAATGGATGGTGCAAGTCAGGAGTCATTGAGGAATGTGAACCACTGGATTCGTGAGTACAGTATGCAACAGAAATGCTGAAATTATTTGACCCTGTGTGCTTTGCATAACTTAAATATTTATTTCTTTAATTTAGAACAGTAATGTGTGCTGTGTCCATGTTAGGTGGGTCCCTGTCACCATGGCATGGCACATCCTCAGATTGTGGATGGAAGAACAGCTTCCAGTTATGTAGGTTAGCTGTGGATATATTTAATAAGCAGTCACGGACAGCCGATAAGGGGTGATCCTCCAGCTTGTGGGTTGGTCGTAGGGCTAACAACCCTTCACCGTAAAAATGTTTTATGTTACACAATACTAAAGCCTCAGATTAGGACAGATGGTATGGATTTACGACCCAGGTGATGTTTAAAGGACCTGATAATTGGGATGTGGAATGTGAAGAGCCTATACAGGGTGAGTCAGAAGTATGTTTACAAACTTCATGTGTGTGTTCCAGGATCAAAAATAAGAAAAAAATGTTCCTTTGAACATGAGGTCGCAAATGTTTCATTTTCGAAATAATAGCCAAAAATAATATTCAATGTATGCCTTTACTGCCAAGTATAAGGACAGAGATGTTTCTTTATAACAGATGCTCAAAGGTTGTTCCTCCATTCTCCACATGAGCACAATGTACACAAGATTGACGAATTTGTTCGTACACACGAGGGTTTCCTTGAATCATCTGACATGCATTCTGCACACGTTCCCATAGGTCATCATTGCATAAACGACGGACTTCAAGTGACCCCACAGATAAAAGTCCATTGGAGTCAGGTCCGGTGACCTCGGTGGCCATGCTACTGGGCCACCACGCCCAATCCATCGCCGAGGGTACTGTTCATTGAGATGATATCTGACGTGATGGGAGAAGTGTGCTGGGGCTCTGTCATGCATAAACCACATTTGTCTTCTAGTATTCAATGGTACATCTTCAAGGAGACGTGGCAAGTGTCTTCTTAAGAATCATCGATATGAAGGTCCTCTTAGATGCGAAGGAAGCATGTGTGGACCAATAAGCATGTCGCCAACAATTCCTGCCCAAACGTTAATTGAAAATCTTTGCTGGAAGCTGGATTCACTTTGATATAAAGTAAATTAATTGAAACTTATTTTTGGCTATTGTTTCGATAATAAAACATTTGCAACCCCATGTTCATAGGAACATTTTTTCTTATATTTGATCCTGGAACACGCACACAAAGTTTGTAAACATACTTCTGACTCATCCTGTATAGAACAGGGGCTATGGAGGTAGGGAAGTATAGTTTAGATATTGCAGGAGGTTAGGTTGCTTGACGATGGAATACTAACAAAGGGGAACTACATATTGCACCATGGAAAAGGGAATAAAGACTACTGCCTGGGAACAGTTTTTTTTAGTGAAAAGAGATCTTCAGCAGGCAGTTAAAAAAGTAGAATATAAAAGATAGGCTTTCATACTTAATTATTTGTGGTCGATGGTGTGATATTATTTTAATTGTGCATATACCAACTGAAGATAAGGATGTTTTGGTAAATGATAGCTTTAATTGAAATTCTACCTAAAATAGGAAAGAAACTTGTATTAATATCACAGAGAACCATCAAAGTGATTCAAGAGCAAGACTGAAATGAAACATTGTGAATCCAGGACTTGGTTTCTGTGGATGAAGATAACAGATTTGACAGTCTTGCATCAGTAATAGAAACCATATATAAATACATGATCAGTTTCACTCTCTTTGTCATGAAATATTTCTTTTGCAGTAAATTCGCCTCTTGTCAACGTAAACAAACAGTTTTTCAATGGTTAAACTCAGGGATGCAAGAAGTGATTGTTTTCGGACATCCTTTCTTTAAGGGAGTGAAAATACAGTTGGATTTTCGGACACCTGAGAACTAACAGGTTGTTACAGTTGGTCTCTAGACAGTTTTAATGATTACAGTAATAATGTTCTGTGGTACAACCCAAAGGTTCAAGAATATTAGGCTGTTGGTAATGATCCTGGGTCAGTTCCATCCACCTCCCATCCCCACAATTGTTTCCCTAAGGTATCTTAATCTCATCGGTCTTTCAAACAGGCTTTTTCCCATCGGTTTCCAGGTTAAAATTCTGTATGACTTTATTGTTTCGATTTGAGCTACATAACCGGCACATCGTAATTTTCATTTTGCTGCTCAAACAACCAGTGGAAACCATTGGGGCTTGTATTTACTTGGGTGGAAGAAGGGAGGTGGCCCGCATTTTCAACTTACGCCACCGGGTCGTCAGAACGTGAAGCGCACTTATATGAATCTGAAGTGGTGTCCTGGGTGCTGTTCCATTGGCTTTGTTAAAACGGACATGCGGTTTGGCAACATTGCCTGTTGATGTGCTGGAGTGGGAGCAAGAAGACACGACACCTCTTTCCAGGATTCTTGTGTACTAGTACGGCTCCAGCTTACAGATTGTTTGGACGTGCTGTAATTTCAGCGAGAAGGTAAGCGCGCGCGTTTGTGTGTAGTAAGAGGAAGGTTACTGTGTGCGCACTTTCTAATTTGTTGACGTCCGCAGCATGACATTACTTCCCTGCTACACTGAGGTGCCCTTGAGAGTGTCTCCATGATGTGTGTTAATGGGTAAAAGGTAGTCCTTCATTGCTTCATTTTTAATATTAGCACAACAAATGAAAAAGCAACCGCGTCATCTCCTAGTTGCCAGACCGAATGAATTGCGTAAAGAATTTGTTGAGTGTGTGAGCCACAGATTGCGCGATCTCTTTTCACCTAAGTGACAATTGGAATACAAATATTTGTTTTCTCTGATAGTCATGGGTAGAACTGTGAGGGAAATTGGACTTCCAACAGAAAGAAGCCTGGCCCATCCCCAACAGATTAATAGAGTCCGTAGGACTGTCAAGGTCATTCGTCGGAAGCAAGGGCAGTGCTCCCGATAGAATGTAAAGACACCGCGGAGAATGTGCAACAAATGTTTTTGATTGTAATTTTTACCAGAAACATATTAATGCAGTTTAAGGAATTGGGAAATTTGCTATGAAAACCCTAAATTTGGGGGAGCAGGTAACATTCTGGAATAGCACCTGACTGTGTGCAGGAGTCCCAGTTGCCTGGTATTCCAGATTTTAAATTTCGTTGTAAAATTAAACAATGTAAGTTAAGCCTTTCTGTGTGTAACCCATGTATTGTCTGAAACATGCAGTACTGGCAGACATGTAACTGTTATGACATCGCCCTGATGACGGAGGCAGTATGACCTCTGAAACGTTGGTGGAAATCTACCAGATTACACGGCCCAAAAGCCAAGAAGACTTCAATTTTCAGACACCGCAGTGAAACTCTTAAATCCTCCTTTCTAAAATACGTGTGGAGGTTTATGATGTAAGGTTCCTCCTGAATCCAGGGAATTAGGCACGTCATCAGCCATTTCTCTTGCAGTAAACAGTGGACTAATCGATTGATGTCTTACACAATTTTTTTAAGATTCATAAGTAATGACTCATTTTAGAAATGGTAAGATATGTGTTCTGTAGTTCTGTCTTGCATGTTTTTCAAATTTGTTGAGATACGGTTTGAAGCTTATCACGCCGATCTGTGATGATGGAGGCAAAGGCAGTATCTGAAACGTGGAAACTCGATCCATGCTAATATCATTGACTGAGAAAACAAATTTCATAAACCCTGGAACTGACAAGCACATCGTTGTTACGTGGTAGGTATCCTTAGGGTGTTCTGTGAGTTACAAAGTCAGCAAACGTTTGGCTGCCTGTACATGTTTATCCATTTTTTGGGTACAGTTATACGTAATGTATCTGTCTTATTTTTCAGCCCCCTGCTGAATGTGTTCTGGATAAAACTAAATCTGTCCCACTATACTCCCGCCATGTAGGCGCCTGGGGGGGAGAGAAGGTACAGCTCTAACTCATTTTAGGTGGGGGTGAGTGGTTGGCGTCACATCCCGGTCATGTTTTACCCCCAGTACCCATTGGTTAGGAGGCTGGGTGGGCCGTAGGGCTGGTCTGGACGTAGAGGTTGGAGGAAAAGTCCTATGCCGCTGTCGGGGATCGAACCCCGGTCGTCCAGTTCGTAGCCAGCCACTATACTGAGTAAGCTGATAAAACGGTTTTTGAGGAACTCCATAATTTGTGCTCTTCACCAAATATTAAAATAATTAAATGGGTGAGGCATGGAGGAGGTGAGATCTCTGTACAGAATTTTATTTGGAAACCTGAAGGAAAGACAGCACTCATAGGATCTAGGTACAGATTAGAGGATAATATTAAAATGGATCTTTGGGAACTAGGGTGGGAGGGAATGGATTGGCGTTACTTTGGCTCAAGATAAGGACCACTGGCATCTCTTCTAAACACAGAATTGAACCTTCTGGTTTATGAATGGTGGGGGATTTCTTTACCAGCTGAGGAACTATCAGCTTTTCAAGAACGTCTTTGCCCTGTGGTGTTAGTTACAAGATCTGCTGAATGTTTTAATTATCACTCACATCACATATGCAGTTAGGAAGTATCTGGTCCAAATCTTAATCCATGTTATTTGTTCTGAATATGTAATGTTTTTTCTCAGTATTTACATTTTGGAAGTGAGGCCTTTGAATAATTTAGACTGCTTCCCCCTTTTTTCCAATTTATTATTGAAGTATTTGCTGTTACAGCATGTGGGATTTCATCACTGTATCCTGAGCCAGTTAAGAACTCACTTCTTTCAGATTAATTCTATTATTATTATTATCCCATCTATTCACCACTTTATGGGGTATGTACTTTCATGTACCCGAGATAGACCTTGTCCCTAAGGTACATAGTGCAGCAGATATTTCCAGAATACATATTGTTTTTAGCGAATGCTACATGTGTTATATAATTTTATTTTATTATAACGTCTTTCGGATGATTTATGAAGATCCCAAAATGGCCGTCTTCCGCAGTTCCCTGATGTCGTGTTCGCCCGGGATGTTGGCCAAATATTTTCTGAGTGATTATTATTATCATCATCAAGACATCTGACGAAAGATCTCCTGAGTAGTCTCCTTTTTGAGGATTTTGTACTAAATTTTGTGTGTAGATCAACCCTTGCATGCTACATGTCATACCGACTTACTTTATACATCTTGATTTTATCACTGACAATACTAGGTGAAGGTTACAAATTATAAATCTTCTCTCTGTGTATTCTTTCCATTCTTGCATTATTTACTTTCTGTTGGTCCACATTGTCTTCAACATTTGCTGTCATAAAGTAACATGTAAAGCAGCAGAAGAAAGCATTGTTGCCATGTTGCAGGTAGCATCATGTCAAGCTGGAGCACAGTGTTTGTGACTGGGGGTGCAGGATACATTGGCAGTCACTGCATTGTGGAGCTGCTGGATGCAGGATACAGTGTCATAGCTGTTGATAACTTTGCCAACTCTGTGAATGGTGAATGTGGGGAGGCACCGAGCTTGAAGCGAGTGGAATCTATCACCGGAAAAACTGTCACATTTTATCAGTGTGACCTTCTTGACAAACCACACCTTGAAAAGATATTCATTGAAGTAAGTTATCATGGGAGGATATGATCAAACTGGCTACAGACATATGTTTCTAAAAAGAAAATTAAAGTCCAGTGCCACGGTCTGAAAACTTTGCTTTGTCAGAGATAAGTGTCTTCTTGAAGATGGCTTTCCATCCTGATGATGGAGACAGAATGTTCCTCTGAAACATCAGTCAGTATATTACACACAATATGGCACAACTTCATACTCATTACTGGGAGAACCTGAAAGCTCATTTCATATCTTCTCGTTCTAACTAACTCCCTGGAAACAAAACACTGTAACCCATTTCTGATCCAGTTGATTTCACATCACCATTTCAGCACTGTTCTCCCTTGTCCTCCATAGTTTTTCAGTCTCAGTCTCTGAATCAAGTATTCTAACAAGACTTTGACTTTGTATAATATCCAGTGATGTATCTCTCAGGTCATTTATTTTTAATATTTTTTGTAATTTATGTTATGTCATACAAAAAGAGGTCATATTTTGTACCCATCCAAAACTACGTGTTCTTATTCATATATATGTGATAATTATTTCAGCACAAGATTGATTGTGTTATTCATTTTGCGGCAATGAAAGCTGTGGGGGAGTCGATGCAAGTTCCTCTTCTGTACTACAAGAATAACATTGTGGGGACCATCAACTTGTTGGAGGTAAGACACTGGCTGTATACTATGTTCATATTACTCAGGCTCAAGGGCAGCATTGTCTTCAGTTTTTATTCATTTTTAAATCTCTGATTGTGTACAGAACTATTGCAAGCCCATGTCTATTCTTACATAGAATAAGTTTGAACATTTCAAAGTCAATTAATAGTCTGACCTGTTTGGCAACTACTCATATGTGATTTGGCATCATATACAACTATTTGTGTGGTTGGCTGTGGCCTGTCCACCAGTGACACTTATTTGAAACCAACAAAAACAAAAAAAGGCTTAAGAAGCCTGGGAATATATGCAAAATACAAAAATCTGTAAGCACTTTCATAATCACCAAATATATAAAGTTTCTTGTACAGTGTTACACAAATGTGCCGTGGCATCTACAAGAAAAAATTCTGAGAAATGGTTTATTCATCATGAGTGTTTCTGCACTTCTACTGCCCCACTAGTCAAATGGTTCATGGCCAAGAACAACGTAGTTGCTCCTTAAGCTTCTTCTTATTTTGTTGGACAAAACTGGAGCTGAGGGCAAAGGGATTTAAAGATGTTTTGGAGACTCAACAAAATTCACTGCAGGCACTTAATGGTATTATGAAAGGGATTTCATATTTGCTTCTAACACTGACAGTTTTTGCAGGAGCAGGATGCCATCTCATAATATATAGAGCTTGAATATTTGCTTTCCTATGAAACATTATACTGATGGATTCTTTTAATGCTTCATCCTGCAGGTGATGAAAACTCATGGCTGCTACAATCTAGTGTTCTCCAGTTCATGCACAGTCTATGGCAATCCAGAAGTCCTTCCCATAACAGAGGAGCATCATACAGGCAATGTCACTAATGTGTATGGGCGTACAAAATTCTTCATTGAGGAAATGCTGAAGGACATTTCTGCAGCTGAGAAAGTAAAGATAATCTCTGTGTATTAATGCCTGTTGTAAAACTTTCCCAATACAACATGACCTTTCCTATAGACCCCTACAGGCAGGACATCACAAACATTCCAAAGCCATAATATAGTTTTATTTATGCTCTTCCTTGTGGACAACTTCATATTACTTGGAGATGTACACACATGCAAAGTACATGGCATTATACAGACACACACCACAGACTCCATTCAAATGGTATTATTCTGACACTCCTGGGATTGTGTTTTTTTTTTTTTTTTGAGCACTCTGTTCACGTATAATTACTCAGGTACACTCCAAGAAATGGAGTTTATTCAGGAACTCAGTGTGGACTCATGCAGATTGTTTCTAGACTTGCACCACTTTTGCAGTGGGTTCAACATGTGTGAAGACTTCTCTTATATGGAAATGACTCTTGCATATACTGCTTTCATGCTAAGTTCTCAACAAACTTAGCCCAATCTTGTGCTCAGTTTCACTTCTGCACGGAGTTGAAATTATTTAGATCATGTCACTTACAGCAGATTACCATTTGCTGCTTTATGAGGTCTGAGAGATCATCTTACTGAGCACCAAAGAAATACAGGAGTCAAGTAAATGTAGTTAAATGGTACTTAAAATGTGTGACTGATTCATTGTGTACACATGGCTCAGGATGTGGTGCTTCATTTTTAAGAATTGGAACATCATCTGCTTGAGGTACTTCAACCCTGTTGGGGCTCATCCATCTGGCTTGATAGGCGAGGATCCCACAAAGGCATTCACAAACTTGATGCCGTACATGGCTCAGGTTGCTATCGGTAGCAGACCCAGCCTCACCATCTTTGGAGGAGATTATGATACTGTGGATGGAACAGGTTGGTATATATGATAAACAGTGCTTGTGTTTTATATTTTGACTTGAACCATTTGTATGGAATGCCTGAATTAACCTGTGTGGAGTGTGTATGAATAATACTACTTATATGGCATGTGTGTGAACTCTAGTCCATAACGTGTGTAAGAGCTTGTGAAATGGATTACCTGAATTAACCACCACAAAAGTGACTGTAAAACCATTAAAATTCCAATGGTATAATAATATTGGTTACTGTACAACTGTAATTACATGTTAGGAAGTCTGTTCAGTCTGCTTATTGAATGAATGGTCATGACATGATCATTTTTTGCAGCAATTTTTTTTCATGACAGCTGCTTCCAAAGTTTCAGTTCAGTGACTTTAAGAACTGTACACCAACTGATGCACTATTCGGAGACGGTGTGGGATTCTAGCATTGCAGTGCATATAGCCATGTAGGGGCATGAACATTCAAAAAGCATTTGAGAAAAGTTTCTGAAAGCACTCCTTCATATTTTTACAGAAAATTGTTGCCTTTTATTGTGGGTACAAGTCTACTGTTCCCAAAGCTAGTCAGCAAGAGAAGGTGGCATTTTTCCTATGTATTTCATCATCTCCTTCAGACCAGCATAAGGAAAAACTTTTTTATTTTGCCAGACAGTGGTCGTAGTTTGCAGATTGCATACAGATCTTCAAACATCATGATCATTGCCTCATGCTGAAGTTTTATGGCATAATTGCTAATACATTTTATAGGTGTACGAGACTACATTCACATAATGGATTTGGCATCAGGACATGTGGCAGCTCTGAATAAACTTAAGAAAGAACATCTTCGATTAAAGGTAGGTAGATCAGCTGGTATGTTTGGTTTGAGAGAAACAGCTGCATGCAAACATATTTCAGAGGATTTAATATCCTTGTTGTTGTATAGTAAACAAACAAGACAGATTTGAGAACATCAGAGCTGTAGTCACCGTGAGAGGAGAGGTCAGTGGGAAGTGTGAAAATTCAAAATGCAGATTCAGAAGTGGTGATTTCTGCAAGTGATGATGGGGAGGGCTGGCATAAGGAAGTTTGTCCTGAATTAGTAGTGTAGGAGGGATAACTTCTGTGGATGTTGAGATTTCTACTTCCAACAGATTAGCTGCAATTTCAATGCCAAATTTTCATATTTTTTCTATTAAGGGGGTGCAATATTTTTAAAACTAATATTGAGCCAACATCAAATGTATAAACTTGTGGTAAAATCTTTTTAAATCAAAGATTTGTTTCCATTAGAATGGGTTACTAATAATGAATGACTAAATTATATTAGAATTGGCATTAAACACAAAAATAAACTACTAAATTTCACTCTTTAATATTCCCCACACAAAAAAACACATTTATGATGAGAGATTTTGACAATAATGAGATTAATATTTTACTTCATCAAAATATTTTGCATATGATAAGACATTTTGTTTAGTGCAAAGAATGCATTATTGAATGCTGATTTTCCCCCTTAATGAGCAGTATTGGCATGTCTGTCTTCAATTTATTCTAAAGCTGCTTAAGCCTGCTTGAAAGTACATACAGATTTTGAATCTATGAGCATGAATCATCATGTCACTGTTATTGAGTTCTGCATAGATGTCACTTCAGAATTTCTGAATTGTGTAAACTACTAGGTTTGAAAGCATATAGGGAGAAAAAGAAAACATACTCTTCAGGACTTCACGGAAAGTGGCTCAAAACCTGTATTTTTTTTCCTAAGTTTGGACTTTGCCTTTGTTAGTAAGGATACTCGTCCAAGGAGTCCTACCAAAATGTCTCTAGATCAAGCCAATGAATAGTTGGGACCTGCAGTGCTCAGGCACTTGAAAAACTGGTCGTCCCAGTATCCAGTAGTAAGGATAATAACATGAAGTGAGTTGCCGTTGGGTATGAACTTAACTCTCATATTTCCTGTCTTCTAAAGTAATATTAAATTATTCAATCCATTATTTACAAATTCCTCATGTGAAATGTGTTTCTATTCAAGTGTACTGATTCTTGTTCCCTCATTTCACATGCAATGTAAAATACACAGCAGGTACTGAGTCATATTGGGCTGTTCTGCCTCTTTGTAGATCTACAACACACTTAATCCAGAATTTATAACTATATTTTTGAGCTGAGGTTCCAGTAATGTTAGATAGGACTTTGGTATTTAATGTGAAATGTTAATTCACTTCTGTTACTTGTAATATTCAAAAATTGCAGTCCACATTTGTTCTCTGTCAGACTGTATTGCTGTGACATTTGACTTCACTCAAATGCTTGTGCATTATCATATACTGTGAAATTTTAATTTAATTCATGTCAGAGAAAATCCTTCCCCTTTTGTGGTAATATTCACCTTTAATCTCTGAGCTATGGAAATTCATTATTGTTGGTATGCATTGTGTTTCCATCTGGTGTGAAGAGTTTGAAGTTATATGGTGCATGGCTGCCATGCTGTTGAAAATCTCTTATTTTGACATTTATGTTGATGTTTCTCAGTTTTAAACACTTATACTATTGTAAAAAAGTGTTCTGTAAATATAACACTGAATATTTGGTAGATGTGTTGGTAATTTTCTAATTTTTGTACATATATATACTTGACACACATAGTGAGTTCAGTTTTTTACCTACATTTATATTATTTTAGGAAAGCAGTAAAACAATATTGCACACCAAAAGGTTAATTTAGAATCAACAGAAACTGCTGCTACTGATCAAATGAATAAATTCATGTAAGAGTTTGTTTTGGTTTTGAGCAACGTTACAAGACAAAACTATGTTTACATAGGTTTATAATCTTGGTTTGGGAGCGGGACTTTCCGTATTGCAACTCATCCGAGAGTTTGAAGAAGTGAGTGGGGAGTCCATCCCATACACTTTGGGTCCCAGACGAGTTGGTGATGTTGACAGTCTGGTTTGTGATGCAGGTCGAGCCCTCACTGAACTGGAATGGCAGCCCAAATATCACATAAAGACCATGTGTAAGTGTTTTCATTGCAGACCTACAACTTGGGGACAGGGGAAGGTGTATCAGTCCTCCAACTACTCCGAACATTTGAAGCAGTAACAAAGACCATGGTACCTTTTGAGATACAAGATCGACGCACCGGGGATATTGTTTCCATGTATGCCAACACGTCTCTCGCTGAGCGTGAACTAGGCTGGAAATCCAAGTACACTTTGGAACAAATGTGTAAGTGGAAGCAGCACGTTGGGATAGGCGATGTTACTGCTTAGTGTAGAACTGTACTTACATCATTCCTTCACAGATAAGTTCTGCACAAATAACACTGCAGTCTGTAACAGGGCCCTCAAGTAGTATGAACTGTGTACATTATATGAATGTTAAATATGTCAATGAAAATTACTTTCTCAGTGAAAGTATTAATGTCTGCTTTTTCCCAGTTCTGCATACAGTGGAACTGACTATCCTGCAAGGAGATTCATTGGATACATTGTTCTACAATAGCTATAACAGTATGTTGGAAACTGTATGGAAAATATTTAAAGTAAAACTTCTCAAATGAAGTAAAACGTGTGTTAAATATTTTGAAGATAAGGCATTAAAATATGTTTAACGTGGTATTTATAATTACAGGAAGGAAATTCAAATAATTTTTTCTGGGTCTTTTCATCAGACATATTTCAGACTTGCTGTAAAATATCTCCATCCTGGAAATAAATGTCTGTAGATTCTGAAAGTTATGATTTAAAAGAAATAACAAATTATTATTATGTTGTGCTGATTCCACTCTATCCATCTGGTATCCCTAGAGGGGATTTTGTGTTATTTTTGTCATTTGGGTGTTTGTGCTACCACAACATATTTGTGCAGTTATCTTTAATGTCAATTTTCTCAGGAATGTTCCAGTGCTTTTGACGATCCCTTTCTGCACAATTTGATGTGTCTTAATTAATATATTTAATATGTAAGGAAGGAAGCATTACTTGGAACAGTTTGGTACCTGTAATCTCAGCACAGTATGCCTTGTAACAGCTAATATTTTTGTAGCAGAACTTGCAAGCTGCATGCTGTGAATCCACCTGCCATCATAATTTATTCCTAGGAGTAATCTTGATGTTTTTCTCCCACAACCTTCTCCATGTGGTCATTCAGTTGGCCTCTTTCTTTCCAAGAATTCTGCATCCCTTGACTTCTTCATCCTAGCTGCATGTACAGCCCATCATCCCCCTTTTCCAACATCTCTAGCTGACTCGTATGTATTACAGAATTTCTTGTGTATGACAAACTGCTCATTTACTTCTGCTTATATAATTTATTTATGTAATTGACAATGAATTCAGATTTTAAACAGTGCCCCATGAAACTATGACTGTTGTAGGCGAAGACTTCTGGCGGTGGCAAACTATGAACCCTGATGGTTACCGAGGGAACAGCACCAGTGCCAGTGGTGAAAATAGCAGAACATCTGTCATTATCAATGGCTCCCATTTAAATGGACACTGAGTAAATACTGTTTTAGGATCCATTTGCTTATAGCATTTGAACATGTGTCTGTAACATGCAAATTTAAGTGTTTAAATTATTTGGAACAAATAGCAACTTATTCACTATGTGTACATACAAATGTAAATGCTTCTACACTCAGTGTGTAATAAATATTAAATCGTCATCAGGGTTGGTGTGTTGGTTTGTAGCATGATGTCCACAGGTTCATGGGATTAAAACATTGTTATTAATGTAGATCTGTATGTTATATTGTACTCCTTGAGAACATGCATGGAATTCTACCATTTCCAATTGGTCTTATCTGCAACAAAAGCTAAGGATTCACAGTGTATGCACAGTGCCATTGATTCTGTGTGATGTGTTGTGTAAATTTACCCTCTTTGAAAAGCTTTCTAGATGTTAGTTTTCAGAAAATTATCTCCACTTGATCAGCAGAAAGAAAATGAAATGTTGCTGTAGAGGTCTCAAACTCAAATTTGTAACCATGACTCAACAAAACAAAATGCAATTTGTTATTCCAGTAATTTTTAATTCATGACAGAAGATGAGTAACCTAATCTAAGCTGCAATGAATCTACTTCTCTTCAGTGTAGTTTTGTTTATTGTGTGTCTTACTTACCCAAGAAATGCTGGCTGAGACTTGCCCGTACAGTTATGAATATATCTGTCTAAAAAAACATGGAAGGATAGTTTACATTGTTGATGTGTAATAGCCCTTTAAGGGGCGCACACATGCTAAGATTTCTACTCAGCTTTGTACAAGTGTCTGGCTTAAAATCTCTTATCAAATCTAATTTTATTCTACACATTTCACAGATTTGTCTGTGCATTTCAGTTCAGTTGTAAAAATTTTACCATATATGGCTCCCTTTAAATTTTTTTAAGTTTCATTTTTAATTAATTGACTTCTGAAGTGGAGGTTGCCTTATATCACCATGTGTTAAAGATAAAAATGTTCTTACATTAGGTTGGATTAGAATAATTTAATTTTGAGTTCATTCAATTTCTCATTTAGATTTGGTGTGGATTTTGGTTCAGTTTGTGATGGCCCTTCCTTCCCACCCCCCTGTCCACCATGAAACATGTTTTCTGCATTGTACATGTGTTTCTGTATATTAATCATGAAATGTACCATATTTTCCAGAGGTCTTGAGAGCATTTTGGTCAAAAATTTCCTGTTGTAAAATGAAAGCTGTTGGTAATGTGCAATAATTAGTTGTTTGTGGCAGTAAATATGAATGGGTGGGTTTATTTGTAACTTATCTCTACTTTATGTGAACCCTTTGTTTGTATTTGTGACATTTATATAATAGTATGACTTGTATTTGTATAACATGTATTGTATTATTATGACTTATTCTACATCCTATTGTCATCTGACTAACTTAGGGATCCATAGAATGTAATAAAGATGTATGCCCAGAGTTATAGGCCAATATGACGACCTCTGTGCCTAATTTGAAGTTTGATGTGTGTGTGGAAAAATTAAAGTAGCCTGTGAGGAGGGTAACTTTGCCAAAAAGGAAACGGGGGAGGAATAATTTTTTCTATAGCATCTGCATTGAATTGTGTAAAATTCCAAATAAGTTTACTGAACGTACCCGATCACTTTGGACCGATTTGTAATGACGTCACTACCATAGTGCATTAGAATCAAGAATATGGCCGTGTGTATAAAAGGGCTGCGGGTCTGTTGCGAGAAGCTCATAATGCAGTGAGGTTTTTCAGAGGAAGCATTCTGTTTCTGAAAAAGAAAGGTAAAGTGATTAATTTTTTCGTTTTCAGGAATTAAGTAAGTGAAACATTTGAGTGATGGAGTATGGTAATGTAAATAACTCGTATCGAACTATTGAATGCTACGAGACGTCAATGTATGAAGAAATTTGCATAAGGGAATAAAGTAGTTATCAATAAATATATCTTAAAGAGTTTGTAGTTAAAGATCAAAACAGATTGCTCATAAGTATTATTTTTACACACACAGATAAGTTTTTAAACATTAGCTTGTTATAATGTAGCGAAATCCAACAAGAAATTCAAGATGGCTACCTTCTATAATTTATAATCTTGCAGCAATTAAAATTAATTCCCCTTATTTTAGTAATTACATCGTATAGTGTTACACCGAATTTTTAATATTTTTCGTCTTCGGCCAAAACGGAATATTTTAGGTTGTAAAAGTTGCAGTAATTTTTGAAAATATAAATTGCCTGACGGGAGTGGAACAGATATATCAAGAACGGTCACAGGTGACGCGCACTGTCCGACATTGCGTGATACTCTCATGTATAGATCTTTCATATCGCTCGTTTATGTAATGGAACTATTTGAGATTACCTGTTTATTGTATGCTACATATTAAAGGCCCATTTGGGATGATAATAGTGAGGTAATGTTATGTGTGGTTCATTATTACACAGAAATAAAGCGAACACTGCATTAATTAGCTTCAATTCGTATTTGTTTTATTTTGTTATTCAGTATAAGAACCCTGTAAATACAGTCGAGTGATACTTGTACCAGTTCTGCTCACTTAATGAAACACAACCCAGAAATTCACAGGCAGTAGGGGACAAATATGCACGAAAATGTGCTCCATTGCCCCCCCCCCCAAATCAGAACATTTAAGAAACTATAAAAAGTCATGTATTTAAATTATTTTTTGTGTAATATGTTTTTAAACATCCAGATTTGTATTCAGTAACAGCTTTACTCAAATTTGTTCAATAGGAGCTTATCATTTCTTGGACGTGAGTGTATGAGAATCAATTTATGGAATTATCATTTCCAGCAACAAATGCAAGGCCCCCCCCCAAAAGGCAAATTGTTCATCAGTCTAAATTACCTAACTTGTCAATCATTTATACTGAGTAAATATATTATTCATATAACAACTTTAAATACACCATTTATGATAGCTTGTTGAATGGGTGTGTTAATCAGTTGTTATAGATCTTATTGCACATTTCTTCTGCATATTGAATTCCTTTTTTGTTTAATCATGATGTCATTACAGTCTTCATGGAATTTGGTTTGCTTGGACTTAATGAGCATTGTCAGTAACTGAAAGTAGATGCAGAGTTATTTTTTGGTCACCACTTCTAATTTATAAAATCCATATCGCTATGAAAAGTGACTGTACTCCAAAGCAATTTAAAGCACACATGCAATTTCATCATTAGCATTTATGATGATTATTCTTTGCAGTTTGACCTTAAAGTGTAATTTAGGAAAAGGTCAGTCACACAACATTACTCTCTGTTACTCAGAACAACTTTGACCTTGGCAGTGCATGTTGACATTGAGGGTTGGACATACAGACCTTGTCAAATATATAAGGCTTTAACTCTGCTTAATTTCTGTCTCCTTTCCTGTCTGATTTGTTCCACTGTTGCAACCGACTCCACAGTAGTTTGCTGTTCTTTCATCTGCATGGCAAATAGGCAAAATTATACTCTTCCTCCACTGCTTCCTGTTTACATTGGTGATTCATACGATTTATCATCTCCCTAGCCTTACTGTAATGGTTTTGCCCTTTTGACTGCTGAGCATTTGTAAAGTGTTCAGTTTATACCTCAAACAAATATAAAGTAGCAAACAATAGAAAATAAAGTTGAATTGACTTGTACATAGAACATGACCATACGATGGCACAGCGTTTTCTCGACTGCAGTGCGTTTGTTTCTAGCCACATATTTGTTGCCATTGGACTTCCATGTGGGTCTGTACTGCCATGGTCACAGTTTTTTCTTGAGTAATCAACAGTAGTGACTTCAGATCTATTGCCCACTAGACTCGTAAAACATGGTTGATCTGACATAAGGTGTTATGAAAAGTATCTATATACCATGGGCTTGCTGTTTATGTGCATGTCTAGTATTTTTAAACTCCATTCCAGAATATTTTCATGAAGGAGTGAAGAGCTTGCTTATCCTGTAACAGCATTTACATGATATTAAAGAA